TCTGTTTCAGAGTTCTAGGGGAGGACGATGTGGACTCTTCCTCCGTCCCCTCTTCTTCTCTCTCCCCACGCCCCACCCCTCTGATGGTGTTTGAGGTGCCCCCTCCCCCTCATCCAGCCCCTCCCCCTTCTTTCCAACTCCCTTCGTCTGCCCTACCTACCCCTACCCCTCCACCAGATACCCCCTCCCTTAGGAGGATGACACCTCCGATCCGGGAAGGAAGGAAGCCGTAACTCCCTCCCCAATAAAGGGCGGCAGCCAAGCAAACCATCTTCTTCCTCCACAAGGAGGAGTCAGAGCTCAGAGAAGACGGGGCCTCTGTGCTCCAAATCTTTAACAAATGGTCTAATGGCGGTCCTGCAGTGGAATGCTAGAGGACTCCAACCTTCCATTCTAGAATTGCAACACATACAGGTTACACTGTGCCCACTTGTGGCCTGTGTCCAAGAGACAAAGTTCGCCCCGGCTTCAAACATTGACTTAAAAGCTATTACTTCTCATCATCATATTCACACTGAGAACCAGACAGCGTCTGGTTGAACCACCATCTACGATACATCAACAACAACACCCTCCACAGACAAATACATGTACATCTTAGGACAACCATTACCCTCCAGGCTATAGCTGTATGGGTCACCCTGATAAGACCAATCACGATCTGCTCCATTTATGTCCCGTCAAATTACGCCCTCAAAATTACCCAGCTTAATGACTCAAACACCAAGTCCTCAAATCCTTTATTTTTAGTAGGAGAAGAATACTTTTATTTCAAAACAGCATCTGTCTTTTAAATGGTAAATCCTCAACTTACTGAAACAAATCCTTAACACTTCATCTTTCTACACCCCTGACCTGGTCCCAGGTTTTGAGTGGTCTGTGCTGGATGACCGTGCTGATCATTTCCCAATATTTCTCAAGAACAATAGCCTCCAAAACGAACCGACCCCAGAGCGCTTTAACTTCAAAAAGCATACTGGGACGGGTTTGTTATTGGATGCTTCCATATTTTGAACCTCACTTTCAGCCTCAACTACCACTAATTTCACGAAACGATTCCAGAAGTGTGTCACAAAGACATACCAAAACAATAAAAAAATAAAAAAAAAACCCCGGAAAACTAGGTACGGTTCTCTGGGGTGTGTGGTAATGTCATGGACCCCAAAGAAAAAGAAAGCAGCAAAAAATGCTCCACCCCGAAGCCTCCATATTTTTCTGCGGAGGTCACTGCTATTGACTTGGCGTCAGACTCCGTAGAAAATTCTCCCTTTCAACTCTCCCAAATTATCGTTTTTCTTTCTTGCCCGATGCCTTGTCTTGCACTCACCAATCTTCTTCACTTCACCCTCACCTATCCCGTAGACTGGATGTCCGTTGTGGCGCTATTGAAGATTTGGCCACCAGCTTCCTCCACTCCTTCCGCTCTTCAGATTTCCTGAGCGTGTCTTTGAGGTCCAGGCCTGTCCGTTCCTTGATTTTGTCCTTCCAACTCTCCTTCGGTCTGGGTCTGCTCCTTCTTCACTGGACGCAGCTTTGCAAGATCATCTTGGCAAGGCCGGATGAGCGGGTGATGTGTCTATGCCATTGCAGTTTGCATTTCCTGACCAAAGTGAGAAATTCAGGGTATGGTCCAATTGCATTTTTGATCCGTTGATCGATTTCATCATTTGTAATGTGATCTTTTTATGAGACACTAAAGACTTTTCGGAAGTATCTCATCTCCACAGCTTTGATCCTTCTTTCAAGGTCTGCATTCAAGGTCCAGGATTCACATGCATACACAAATACTGACATGACCAGGGAACGCATGAGCCTGATCTTTGATCTGATGGTGATATTTCTGTCTTTCCAAATGGTTTTCAACTTGGTCATTGCTGCTGAAGTTTGCCCTATTCTGGAGAGTATTTCTGGTTTTGATCCTTCGTCTGTCACTATTGCACGCAGGTATTTGAAGCTGCGTACGGTCTCAAGCCTCTGGTTTTGACCTGGATGTCCATTTTCTTGTTGCTGTTAGATAATCTAAAACTTTGAAACCCGAAAATAGAAAATCTAGTTAAATTGCTGTTGAGAATTATTTCCTTCACTATATCTCCAGGCTGTGGGATAAAAACTAAAGTAAACAACTAACAACAAGCTTCACAGGGCCCAAACTGGACCCACGAAAATCTTCTGGCCTTTCGAGAAGAGACGAAGAAGTTTTACTCGTTTACGTATATGTGCTTCATGGATACCTCCTGCTTTGAGATGAGAAACCGCTCTGTGTCAGATGCGATACAGACTTCACCATTAGACACTTCAGAATGTCCGGACTTTGGAGAGACGCGATGTAAATATTTTAAATGCACAAAATTAAAAGGTCTGTTCTCCGTCGTTGATCCATATAGAATTCTCAAATTTATAAAAGTCATTAGCCTGTATTCTAAAATGTAGATCATTTTTGTTTTAAAATGTAAACTGCTGTTTTTATTTTTTTATTTTTTTAAAACAAGATTTGTTTACCATGAGATGTTTTCCTTTAGTTTAAAAGTAAAATAAAGCCGTTCAGTGAGATGTTGTGAATGCAGTCAAATTTTGTTTCGTGGGTGCATGAAGTTGCGAGCGCCGTAAAACTCTTATTAAACTAACTGCAGAGCGTTGTACATGATGTACAGCAGAGCAAGCTTCTGGGTTCCAACTCGTAGCTGGGTCCGCCACGTGCCGTCTCACACACACACCCGGCGATACACAAATCAGAAAGCTAATGTCGTTATGTGGACACCAAAAATTCTGCACACACTCAAAGTGTGTATAGCGTTGTGTATAGAAATAACGAAATAACAGCGTTATTCGGACAGGAATCAAATTCAAAAATATGATGAAAAAAACAACACATGATGTAATTTTTGGCGGGAAATGCGATGGTGACCTTAAAACATTATGTGGACGTCTACATAAAGACGGGCATGTCTACATAACGTGAGTGTGCAAATATACTTTTGTCTATATAACTACGCAAAGACACACACACACACACACACACACACACACACACACACACACACACACACACGCACACGCACACGCACACGCACACGCACACGCACACGCACACGCACATTTGGGAGCATTTAGACTTTCTACTCAATGGGACAATCATAAGTACTTTTTATTGCCCGAAAAACAGCACACAATTCAATTAGGACAAATTCAGAAAAAAGTAATGTTTTCTTCGTACTCATGTCAAGAAACAAAAAAAGCATCCAAAAATGGAAATATTACACATATTTACCGGATGCAGCATGGTCTATTTTTGAGTCTTTTTCTCAAATACAACAAAATAAAATATTCTCAATGGACAGTATCACCCCCAGTGAGTCGGGGGGATATAAATAGACCCACTGCTTCGTCTGCAGAAGGTGCAACCCCTTCAAAGGCGAGGTGTCGCACACGGATCCCAATCCTCTGAGATCCGGATGCGACACCTACTTCTCCTTCCTTCTTTCTTTCTTCTTCCCACCGCTGACCTCAAGTGTAGCAAAAAGAGAGGTCACCCATCCCACAGAGTGGGCGCCTCGTTGACCGTGAGGTGCGACCCGTGCGGAGGGAAACCGGGTACCTGGCGGTTGAGGTGAGATCAGTCCACGGACTGTCCCTCGCCAACACACCTCTTTGGCCCAGGTTTTCCTCTTAGACGGGAGGGTGGCACGGCCCATGCCACTCAATCGGTTGAGAGCTGAAACCCCATCAAGCCCTGGGTCAATCTTGACGGGAGGGTCTTGTACTTTCTCGTTGAGAGTATAGCTCCGGGGTAGCCCTGGCACAGCTCTGGTCATCCGAGCAATGTGTCCCCTTGTTGGGCTCCGTGGTGGGTGGGGAGCCCCGGAGTCGAATCAATCAGAAAACTCTCATGGAATCCAAATAAAAAAAAGACCCTTCCCCAGCTCCCAACGTTAGCAAAAAGTCTCGGCTCGCGGAAGCGGGTGCGGCCGCCGAGCCGAGCAAAAACTCCAAAACTGGAAAAAGGTCCTTTACGTCTGCCTCTTTTCTCCCTTCTCCCAGGGAGCTTCCGAAGCAGCCGTACGTTGCCATCAGCTGCAGAGAAGACGCATAGAAGAAGATCACTGATCTGAATTTGTTCAAGACTGGAGATGCACTAAGACAGGTTCTGGGATACATTCCTACGAATGTCCAGAAGCTGTCCTCTGGTGTACTCCTCGTCAAGTGCGCAACAGAGACTGAAGTGGCCAAACTTCTGAACATCACGACCTTCGGCAGTATTCCATGTACTTCCGAACGATACTAGAAGTTGAACCGCTCGAAGGGCATCGTCCGCAGCCACGAACTAAAAGGCTGCAGCATGGAGGAAAGTGTGGCGAACTGCGAAGGTGTGATTGACGCCCGCCGGATTACTCTCCGACGGGGGGAGACCACCCTCAAAACCAACACGGTCATCCTGACCTTTGATTCGTGTTGCCCTCCAGCCACCGTTCGGGCATCGTACTTGGTCTTAGACGTGCGACCCTATGTACCGAACCCTCTGCGCTGTTTCAAGTGTCAGAAGTTCGGACATAGTCAGTCGAGATGCCGACACGCAGCCGTGTCCTCGTTGTGGCAAGACCGGGCATCCTGAGAAGGAATGCAAGGCTAGTCCTTGTTGCCCCAATTGCCACGGCCAGCACACAGCCTTTAGTAAGGATTGCCCGACTTGGATTCAAGAACGCGCAATCCAAGAGTATAAAGTACGAAATGGCTGCTCGTTTCAGGAGGCCCGCAAAGCTACCAGCCCGCCAGTTGTGACCCCGATCCCTGGCCGGTCATACGCCAAGGTAGCACGGGAAGCCACGAGGTCCCAAAGCCCACGGTCAACAGGCATGTCTCTTTGACTAAAACAAAAAAGGTTCTTCCTTCCACCGAGACACCTCTGACAAACCGCTTTGAGGTTCTAGGGGAGGACAGGGTGGATTCTCCCTCCGCCCTCTCTCCTCCCCCTCCCCACTCCTCTATCACTTCCTCTTCTTCTTCCTCTTCTTCTCCTTCTTCTTCTTCTTCTTCTTCCACCTCACACCTCATCACTCTGATGGAGCGTGAGGTGCACCCTTCCCCCTCTTCCCAGCTCCCTCCGTCTGCTCCCTCTCCAGCAGACACCCCCCTACCCCACCACCAACCAATGGAGGAAGACAGCTCCGACCCCCCTCCCCGGCCTGTCTTCTCCAAATCCCCCACTAGACCGCCGTCTAATCCAGGACGGCAACCTAGAAAACACTCTGCCTCCCCCGCAAGGAGGAGTCAGAGTTTCTTCGAAGCCGGGGCCTTTGAGCTCCAAATTAAAAAGTAAAAATTCATAATGGCGGTCCTGCAATGGAATGCCGGCGGAATCCGACCTTCCATTGCAGAATTGCAACATTTACAGGCCACACTGTGCCCACGGGTGCCCTGTATTCAAGAAACAAAATTCGCTCCGGCTTCAACCATATATTTTTAGAGGATTTACTGCGTACCATCACATTCACACGGAGAACCAGATTGCTTCCGGTGGAACCACCATCTACACCGACAACCACACACTCCACAGACAAGTACATCTTAAGACGACCCTCCAGGCTATTGACGATCTGCTCAGTTTACATCCCACCAAATTACCCCCTCAAAATAACCCTGCTTAAAGTCTCAGCTCCCAAAACCCTTTATTTTACTAGGTGATTTCAATGCCCACAGCCCCCTTTGTGGAGACAAACCTATAGACCAGAAAGGTAAAATAATAGAAA